GGACTACCTGATAACATTCCCATTTTGCAAAGCCCAATCGGATCGCCGCTTTGCTTCCGCTGACTTCGCCTAAAACTTCATGAGGACTAGCTGCGTGCGGAGCTGCCTGCCATACATTTCTGACACTTTTAACGCCAAATCAGGCTGAACAAGATTGAGTGTTCTGTAACCCGTTGCAACTTCGCTTCCCGAAACCGTAAAAGGAGATTTCAAACTTACCTTGGACCAGAGAAGCAAGCAATAAATAAATAAATAAATAAAAGAGAGAGTATTTTGGCTCATTCGTCCACAAGAGAAACGAACATTTTCCAAGAAAAATCCCTGCCAGGAACCAACGCCGTAATCCCGAGTCGAAAATTTTTGTTTACAGCCAGGGTTAAGTTCCAGCGTTGCCAAAAAGCACGTTTTCCCATCTCTTGCACGCCTTTTTTTCCCAATGTGTGTGTGTTGGCCGGCCTTTGGGAGAAAATGTTTATTTGGAAAAATGGGATTAATTAAAAACAAACTCTATTGCAGCAGCAGGAGTGTGTTGTTTTTTTTTTTGTGTGTGTGTGTAAGAGTGTTTTCAGCCCAGAGCGATCAAGCCCAGGGCGATAGCAGAGGGTGGTTTTCTTGGGGGCCAGCCAAGGAAACAAAGTAAATTGATGGATAAAAGCCAGAAATTTTACAGAAACTTTTTATCGGCTCAGCGTTCCCGGTTTCTGGCTGCATTCACACCACCAGTTTCCCCCGAGTAGGTAAAAAAAATGTGTGTGAGTTCAGATTTGGGGTGAGAAGGAGCCAAGCCGTTGGCATAATTTACAATTTGTGTGTTGTTTTGCAAAGCCGGGGAAGGATGATTTCGGTCCCTGGGTGGAACAGGTTGTGTGAATGCGAACTTTCACAGGTCAAGGGAAAAGAAAACCACATACACAAACACACTTTCTGCTGCATTTAATCTGCCTCTCCTCCTTTTGCAAGTCAGATTAACCGTTTTCATTTTGATCTAACGATGTCAATAGTCCCAAAGGCAGACCAAGGAATCTCTGCATTTCGGTCACATTGACGGTAAAGGTTTCCTTTATCAGAAACCAGGATCCGGCCACCTGCTTCCTGGCTTGGAGTCCTTTTGTCTCCATCCAGGCTGGGCAGGAAGTGTCCGGTTGGTGGCCCCATTCAGTTGTGATTTTTGCAAATATCCGTGATTCTTGTCCTTGCAATCCTCCAGAGGCAGCTCTTGTGCTGAATAACACATCTTGGGCTGGAGCAAAAAGAGATTTTGAACAAACCAGGATTGTTGGGCTTGCCTTGGGATGGTGTGTGTGTGTGTGTGATTCTTGGAATTGCTGGCTGTTTCCACCCACTCGTAACCCTCAACACTGCTGTTGTGTTCGCTAAATAGGCGATGCCCAAACCGAACCCTATTTTAATTCGTACAGAATGAAATGAAGTTGAAAGGGACCTTAGAGGTCATCTGTCTCAACCCCCCCCGCCCATTTGCAAGGATCTTACATTCCGGGGACAGCCAGCAGTTCTCCCATGTTCACTGGGGAAGAAACCCTGCTCCCACCAGCAATTTCCCCCCATGCCATCCGAAATCAACTTCCTTACAATTTCGCACCATCAGCACATCTATACCATGGCAGCTTTAAGACGGCTGGTGGGCTTCAACTCCCAGAATTCCCCAGCCAGTGGATGGGTGGCCTGTTTTTTCCTTATCCAATAGAAGCAAAAAGTCCAGAAAAAAAGTCCCATTCGGTTCTTACCATGAGGTGATTTATTTTCCCCCTAAGGTCCAACTTCCACCCGCTTCTGCTGGCTAGGGAATTCTGGAAGTTGGGTAACCCTCTCCTTCTCTTAAATCTGCCAAGGTTGGACATGCATAGTATAAGGTCTCCTGTTTGAGTTCGAACCCTGTTCTTCTATTCTTCCTGCTGTACAGAATAGAATGCAGAATAAGAGAGTTGGAAGGGGCCTTGGAGGTCATCCAGTCCAACCCCCTGCTCAAGCAAGAAACCGTATACCATTTCAGTCCAATCTCTTCTTAAGAACCTCCAGTGATGGAGCATCTGCAACTTCTTGGTGGCAAGTTGTTCCACCGATTAATTGTGCTCACGGTCAGGAAATTCCTCCTTAATTCCAAGTTGCTTCTCTCCTTGGTTAGTTCCCATCCACTGTTTCTTGTCCTGCCTTCAAAATGCTCTGGAGAATAGCTTGACTCCCTCTTCTTTGGGGCAGCCCCTGAGATATTGGAACCCTGCTATCATGCCTCCCCTAGTCCTTCTTTTCATTAAACTAGACAAAACCCAGTTCCAGCCACCGTTCTTTATACGTTTTAGCCTCCGGTCCTCTAATCCTCTTGGTTGTTCTTCCCTGCACTCTTTCCAGAATCTCAACATCTTTTTTACACTGTGGGGATCAAAACTGGAAGCACTATTCCAAGTGTGGCCTTATTACCAAGGTATTCTAAAGTGGTATTAACACTTCACGTGGTCTTGATTCAATCCCTCTGTTTATGCAGCCTAGAACTGTGTTGGCTTTTTTGGCAGCTGCAGCACACGGCTGGCTCATATTTAAATGATTGTCCACTAGGACTCCAAAACCCATCTCAAAGTTTATTGCTATTGAACCAGACCTGTGGATTTGGTTTTACTTCCCTAAATGTTCATCAAGAATCTCCGTCCAGGGGAATAAAGGCAAATCCCACCCACCCAGAAATGCTCCCTTCAAAGTTGTTGTTTTACAGAGATTTATTGACATTCACGCTTTCAAGAGGAAGAATCCTGACCTTCGTTTTTTTCCTTTCTCAAAAAGATTAAGAGGCCCCTTTTCCCTTTTGTCCTTCCCGGGATTCCAGGCGTTATCAATTCAACCAGATGTTGTTTCCTCTTTAAAATATATATTTATATCCTGCCACCCAGCTGCGCTCAAGAGCTTGGGGGAAAATAATTGGCAGTACAACAGGGGTGTAATCAGGATTTTTGGGAAAAGGCCGTACTCTGACTGGCAAAACCATCGTATTATTTAATTTTGGTTTAAAAAGGGAAAAAAAACAGACCTCTTTTACGGACACAAGCATTCTGCAACTACAGGTAGCTCTCGACTCGCAATGGTTTGTTTAGTGATCGTTCGAAGTTATAACGGCATTGGAAAAAAGTTGACTTATGACCGTTTTTCACACTTATGACTGTTGCAACATTCCTGTGGTCAAAATTCAGATGCTTGGCAAATAGACTCATATTTATGACGGGGTGGAACAAAAGTCCAAGAGGGAAGCCAGATTCACTTAACAACCATGGTGGCCAAAGATCGTAAAATGGGATGAAAACTCCCTTAACGCATGTCTCATTTAGCAACGGAAATCCTCCAGCCCTTCCCTTTGCCCTGTCTGGGGTGAACGGGGAGGTGAGGGGGGGGGTGTCACACAACCATCTGCGACCAGAGTAATAAACCCCACACCATAATTTGCACTCACATTCCATTTTGGCACACGCAAAAATCAAGTGGCAACGAGTTCCTCAGACCACTCTCCTTTGAAGCTCCCCCTTTGGGGTCCAAAGCTGGATTTTAGAAATATTGCTCATCGGAAAGGGGGGGAAAGGGGGACACCCACCCCCTGCATATATTCTATCGAAATTCAAAGCCCCCTCCCCTTACGCTTCCCTGGGTAGAAGGGGAAGGGGGAAAAAACCAAGGCGCAGGACTTCGAAAAAGTGCAGCAACCCATTTCACGGCCTGCTAAACTCGGTTTAGCGAAGGCCCAGCCAACATTGTGCGCCCAAATTCTTAAAACTGGGGTATCTTTCAATCACAAAAAGGCACCCATAAAATTCCTATTTTTCCCCGTCCCCGTTTCGAATTCAAGCCTTGGCATTGTTAGGAAGAAACTGGTTCAAACCTTTCAGCCAGGGAATAATACATTTTGAAATAGTTTGGCAATTTTTGTCCCCCCAATACTGGTGGGTGAATAAGTGGGATCCACCCACAACAATACACCCTAAATTTGCACCTCCTGCCCTCCAGCTCTGTTCCAATCCTGCCGTGCAGCGGCTGTCACTCAACACGGCTGCAGTTTTTATAATATTTTGCCCCCAGGGGTTAACTTTTCCGTAGCTTAACCTGTTGGGTTGTTTTATGTACGATCCCACCATCGTAATCCCAAAAATTCAGAACAAAGGATGGATGCAGTCATCTTTAAAAGTCCTTTTTGGAGTCAGGGATCCCCAGGGATCTCTTGGTGGGATCTGTTCCTTTTTTTGCAGGAATTAAAACAGGGAGTCAAAAACAGTGGAGAGAAATGTCCCAAGGAATCACACACCCCTTTCCCCCCCCCCCCCCCCCCCCCCAGATCCTATCCAAATTCAGGCTATAACTAGATTCGTGAACGCCGGTTCCGGGCAGCGAGAATAAAACTAACAAAATGGGGATTCTTTTCCTTGCAAAGTTCCCAGCAAATTGGCAAACTTGTCCGTCAGATTCCGAGCTCCATTTTGCCCGCAGGAAAATCTGCAGGCAGATTTCTCCTCTTTCCTTTCGCCTTTGCCCAACAACCACCCTGCAGGGTAGGCCGTCCCCGAGGACATGCCGAGAATTTTCTGATCTGGATGCGAGGAAGTCGGAAAGGCGTGCAAAGAAAACTCACAATCCCAACGGCCTTTTGTGTTTCCCGCCTGGTTGAGGGGAAAGGCTACCAAGCAGACCAAGGGGTGCCTTTTGAAAGACTCCTGTGAGACCCCCAAACCTTGCTACTCTCACTCAAGGGGGGGGGGGGAAACAAGGGGGAATTTAGCCACAAAAAGTCCTCATCCTATTCGAGAAGGAGGCCACGATTTTTGCTTCTTGGACCATCCTGCTTTTCCTGTCCAGCTGCCCTCAAAGGAGCTTTTCCGGCACCTGGCCTGACCCATCCAAGCGTGGTGGCGGGTTCGAACTATCCCCAGAAGAGATCCCTTTTTTTGGGAGGGGGGATGTAAAATCAGAACCCCGTGGAGGTAAGCAGCCTGCCGTGCCAGCCTTCCCAAACAAGCCTTCTAAATTTAAAATCCCCGCTGCGGAGTCCTGTGTGATCCAGAAGCTGGCTGCGTTTGTGCTGCAACTCTGGCCAGCCCAGCCTTGGGATCCTGGTTAAATACAGGGAAAGCGGGGGTTGGCTTGCCTCGCCTTCCTGCCTGCCTTCCATCCTTTCCCTGCCTCCCTTCTTCCTCTCCGCGGGGTTCCCACGCTCCAGGCTGCCATCCGTCCGGTGCAGCATCCTCCTCCTCCTCCTCCTCCTCACTCGTCGGGCGAGCAAGCGGGGTGCGGCTGGTCGGGGCTGCCCACGCTGCCCGTGCTGGAGCTGCCGTCGCCCAGATCGCGGGGTCCGCAAGGCAGGCTGAGCTCCGACGAGCCTCCGCCCGGGCTGGGGCTGGCATCGGGTCGGGCGGCGGCGGCGGCGGCGGTGGCAGCGGCGGCGGCGCAATCCTCCAGCGCCAAGCAGAGCTCCTTCAGCTCCAGGTTGTCCTGCGCCAGCCGCTCCTGCAGCCCTTCCAAGCCGGCCAGCTTGCGCAGGCAGCCGGCCACCTCGTCGCGCAGGACTTGCGCTGCGTGGTGCCCGAAGAGCTGCCAGTGCCGGGCCAGGCGCTTGGCTTTCAGCCGGTCCTCGTCCAGGAAGCAACAGAGGTCGCGCAGCTCGCGGTTCTCCGCCTGCAGCCGCCCGTTGACGGCTTTCAGCTCGCGGATCTCGCGCAGGTGCTCCTGCAGCTGCCGGTTCACGCCCTGGATCAGCCGGCCGCGTTGCACCAGCGCCGCCAGCTTCTCGGCCTCCTCCCGGCGCAAGCGGCGCACCAGCTCCTCCTTGCTGCAGCCGGCCAAGTCCGCCTCGCTGGCCGGAGCATCGGACGGCGGAGGAGGAGGAGGAGGAGGCGGAGGAGGCGGCGGTGGGCTGGAGGACCGGCCGACCGGGGGCGGCGGCGGCGGCGGCGGCGGCGGCGCCGGGAACATCGCTCGCTCAGCTCCGGTCGGTGCAAAGCGGCGCGGGGGGAAGCAACCGGTTAGCCCGCCCGTGCAGCGGCATCTTTGCAAGGCTTGGACGCCGGGAGGAGCGAGCCGCGCTTTTGCAGCGGGACCTCCCTCTTCCTCCTCCTCCGCCGCCGCCGCCGGGATTAACGGGACGGATGCCCGGGCGCGCTGCACCTCCGCCGGCCGGGAGCAGGTGCAGCAAAGGGAGAAGGGCGCCTGCGCGGCGGAGGGCGGGAGTGAAAGGGGAGGAGGGAGACGGGGAGGGGGGGCTGGGAAAGGATGCCCTGTCGGTGCAAAGTGGGTGGGTGGGGGAGCGGGAGCGCGCGGGCGCGTGCACGGGAACGGACCGGCGGGGGGGGGGGGGGAAGGGGGGGGGGGGGGGGGGGGGTTGTTGTTTTTTAATCCCCCAAGCCGGGAAAAATTGGGGAGAGGATGGGTGGGTGGAGGGAAAACGGAGCAGGCTTGCACCCTTTCCCCGCTTGCAATCCGGATTAAGGAGTCTCTTGCACCCACCCACCCAGCCTGGGCCACCCACTCACCCCCGGCAGCCTTCTGTAGCTTGGCAAGGGGCGCGCGTGCATTGGAGGAGGAATTGTGGTTAGGGGGCGTGGGTGGGTGGGGTTTGTACCCTTTCCCCACTTGCAATCCGGATTAAGGGTTCTCCTGCACCCACCCACCCAGCCTGGGACCACCACCACCCCAGCAGCCTTCTGTAGCTTGGCAAGGCACGAGCAAGCGGTGGTTCCCGCGCAAGGATGCGGAATTGGGATTGGGGGCGTGGGCGAAACGGAGCTGACTTGCACCCTTTTTCCGCTTGCAATCCGGATTAAGGAGTCTCCTGCACCCACCCACCCAGGGACCACCACCACCCCCGGCAGCCTTCTGTAGCTTGGCAAGGGGCGCGCGTGCATTGGAGGCGGAATTGGGGTTAGGGGGCGTGGGTGGGTGGGGAAACGGCTTGCACCCGTTCCCCGCTTGCAATCCGGATTAAGGGTTTTCCTGCACCCATCCACCCACCCACTCACTCCGGGGGCTGGGACCCTCTCCCCCTTCCAGCAGCCTTCTGCAGCTTGGCAAGACCCGGGCAAATAAAATTGGGAAGACGGTGGGTGGGGTGCGTGGGTGGGTGGATTGGGGGAGAAAATGGAGCAAGCTTGCACCCTTTCCCCGCTTGCAATCCGGATTAGGGAGTTCTCCTGCACCCATCCACCCACTCCGGGGTCTGGGATCCCCGGGCAGCCTTCTGCAGCTTGGCAAGACGCGGACAAACCGACTCCATCCGCGCTCCCGCGGCGGGATGCGGAATTGGGGCAGGGGGCGTGAGGGTGGGGATCATGGAGTGGCGGTTTGGCGTAGGACGCTTGCCGGGATGGGAGGGTTGGAGGAATCGGTGCAAAAGTACGATCGGGGGTGTCGGATTCAATTTGCGTGGGAAGGAAGAGCTGGCAACCCCGGTGGGTCGTGTGAATGCGGGCAAGCCTTGCTTGAAGACACGGGATGGGCTCAATCGGTGAGGAAACATCGAGGGCTCGTGATTTCTAGGCTTGGGTCTCCGAAAGGGGCTGGAGAAAGGGTCGAGGTTGCCCCGTTCTGCGGTTTGTGTCTTGGCCCCTGGTGCAGCAGGCTTGGGTCATGTGAACTCTGCCAATGGGTGAAAGGAGGAGGTTGCAGGAACCCATTGCCTCTGTCTGGCTCCAGAGAAGTAATTTCCTTTGCATTTCTGTGGGAAACCGGCTCTGAATCATTTGGCTGGCTCACAGACACATCCTGTCTGGCAACTTTTGTGTTAAAGTGAGCATTGTCTTAGTTTGCAGGATAAGATCCCAGACCTTGATTTCTTAAAACCCAGGGGTGGTTAGACCATCACAAACCAGGTTTAACTTGATGGGCGAGTGGGTCCAGAACTAATTTCCCCCTTAAATCTAATTTTCTATTGGTCTGTTTGCAGGGGGATAAACCGAATTCCTCTTTAGGATTGCTTTGTCAAACGCTGTTCCCTCCATACCACCAAAAAAAAGGATTTAAAAGCCAAACTAAAAAAAAAAAAAGATTTAAAAGCCAAACTTTTAAAAACTTCAGTTTTATTTTTCCCTCTGCAAATCTTTTCCTTCTTGCCTTTATCAAACTGCAGCCCCAAAGCAGGGACCTTCTTTTGACTTAAACCTGATTATAAAAGGTAAATAAAATCTCAAAGAGGTAGTGATCTATTCTTTTATACCAGAATAAATCCAGTTTGCTATCCTGGCTTGAAACCGAAGGACAATATGGCTGATTCCCACCATGGTTAGCCAAACTATAGTTTAACCTTGTTAAATTACAGGTAAACCTCGACTTACAACAGTTCATTGAGTTCAAAGTTAGAACGGCACTGAAAAAGGGACACAGCCATTTTTCACACTACAACACCATTGTAGCACCCCCATAGTCACGTGGTCAAAATTCAGCCACTTAGCAATTGATTCATATTTATGACAGTTGCACTGTCCTGGGGTTATATGATCCCCTTTTGCAACCTTCTGACAACCAAAGTCAATGGAGAAGACAGATTCACTTAACAACCGAGTTACTAATTTAATAAGTGATTCACTTAACAACTGCAGAAAGAAATAGCGATAGCCCTTAGACTTATATACCGCTTCACAGTGCTTTACAACTCTCTATTAAGAATCAGCCTCTTGCCCGCAACAATCTGGGTCCTCATTTTAACGACGGAAGGATGGAAGGTGAATCAATCGAGCTGGTCAGAACTGAACTGCTGACTGGGCAGAATTAGCCCACATTCTAACTGGGAAGGAAAAGGAAGGAAGATAGCAATAGCATTTAGATTATATACCGCTTCCCAGTGCTTTCCAGCCCTCTCTAAGCGGTGTACAGAGTCAGCCTCTTGCCCCCAACAATCTGGGTCCTCATTTTAATGACCTCAGAAGGACGGAAGGCTGAGTCAATCTCAAACTCGACAGGATTGAACTGCTGACAGTGGGCAGAGTTAGCCTGCATTCTAACCACTGGGAAAGAGAAGGAAGGAAGGACTTATATACCGCTTTACAGCCCTCTCTAAGCGGTTTACAGAGTCCGCCTCTTGCCCCCAACAATCGGTCCTCATTTTAACAACCTCAGAAGGACGGAAGGCTGAGTCAACCTCAAACTGGTCAGGATTGAACTGCTGGCAGTGGGCAGAATTAGAATAGAATAGAATTCTTTATTGGCCAAGTGTGACTGGACACACAAGGAATTTGTCTTTGGTGCAAATGCTTTCAATATACATAAAAGATGCATTCGTCAAGAGTCAAGAATCATCGGGTAGAACACTTAATGATAGTCACAGGGTACAATACTGCATTCTAACCACTGGGAAAGGAAGGAAGGAAGGAAGGAAGGAATAAATACCCCTTAGACTTTATATCCCGCTTCACAGGGCTTTCCAGCCCCCTCTAAGTGGTTTACAGAATCAGCCTTTTGCCCCCAACAATCTGGCTCCCCATTTTGCCCACTTCAGAAGGATGGAAGGCTGAGTCAAATTCGTAAAATGGGGCAAAACTCACTTCTCAAATGTCTTGTTTAGCAACAGAAACATCGGACTCTATTGTGGTTGTGAGTTGAGGACGATGGAGTTTTCTGCAACACGCTAAAACCTAAACTCTGCACGGAGCTCCTTTGGAGTTCTGTCCGTGATCCTCCTGGCTAAGGCCGGCCTTGATTCTTAGCACGCTGCCAACCCTCTTTGCAAATTTCCACACACACACCTTTTTTTTTTTTCCTGTCGGGAAAAGACGGATAAGGGAGATGCACAGGCCAAGACACCCTTTAATTTGTTTTTCTCCGGGATTGGCAAGGTTCAAAGGGATGCAAGCCAGGCCATAAACCTTAAAAGAAAGGGAGAGAGAAAAATCCGATTTATTTTTTTGACATGCCTGGGTGCCATGCCAAGTAGAACTTGGTGTCTTCCTGGTTGCTTGAGGGTTTTGACAGCTCTGGCATTAAGAGGAAAGCAGAAAGGAACTCCTGCCTGGATGGAGTCTGCAGGCAGAAACACGGGTTTTTTTCAAAATGGGGAGAACCCCAAAATTTGCTGCAAAAGGGAGAAGGTAGCAGACGGCTCTACCGGTGGAAGGCTTGGGGTGGGTGTTTATTTAACATTGTCCCCTCCATCCCATCAACACCCCAACTGATAACTAAAGCCACTGTTCTGACCTAGGCTTTCCAAAATCATGAAGCAGACTCCTTGTCCCGATAAAACCCCTTTTATTTAGATTAAAGTGAATTCCTCGCCAGCAAAGTCCCGGCAAACAGTATTTTCATGAGATTTCACAACGACGGACCTTTATCAGGCTTGGAGAGTTGCCAGGCCAATAGCTTCTAAACGCCACACCATAGCAGCAATTACTTGGCAAGAAGTCAGGAACAGATCTTCACTCTAATGAAGTGAATTAATTGTCTCCTGCTAACACCACTCTCCTTGCTCCTTTTATTCCCTATGGGAGAGGCCATTCTCTGTCCACCTGTGTCCTTACTCCGGAGTCAATCCTTGTTCCATAACTGTTCCCTTCTCCTGGCAGCTCTGTGCATGCGCACATTGGGAACAGGCTCCAGCTGTTCTTCCTCACTGATCTCTGACTCTGAAAGCAGCTGATAACTGTCGGAGGGCCCTGGCCCCATCTGCGCCTCCAATGCAGAGCCCTCGTCAGAGCCTTCCCCAGACTCCAGGACTGGCCCATGTTCCTCCCCAACCTCCTCACTGCCCGAGTGTGATGGGCCACAACAGCCACACACCTCTAGGCACCGCATAAGTACAGTTAGTCCTCGACTTATGACGGGGACCATACAAAGTTATAATGGGATTGGAAAAAAAGTGACGGTTTTTCACACGACCATTGCAAGAATCCCAATCAAAATAGAGACACTTGGCAACTGCCGCCTATTTATGATGGTGTGGCACCGTCATTGTACTCGGTGCACATTGGCTGGGGATGATGGTCCTTGTAAGCCTTATCTGGATGATAATATCGTTCAGTTATAACACTCCTCCTGCTTTCCAAGTTAACCAGTCTGTTTCAGCCTTTCTCCAGCTTGGTGTGCCCAACCAGCATATTGAGTGGCATCTCCCAGCATTCTACGCTTGCAGCTGGGGATGAGTGGTTTGGTAGTTAGAGAAATCCCTGTTTGGAAAGGCTTA